GATACAAGACACTGCGTCATGTACATTGGCAGCAGTACAAGGGCCTGCACAAAACTTGTCTGCTGCTTCCGCATATAGACGTCGCTGTGATACCGACAATATGCATTCTGGCATATATCCAATACGAAGACACGTGCAGTCGCAGACAGATGGCGCCATGGACAGACGAACCCAGAGCCATCGCGCGACTTGGCCCACATTCACAGGAGCATATAGACACCGATCAAGGTATCCGCAGCGACGCAAGACGATGTAAACATACAGAACACTCACACAAAGGTACTTGTATGCGTGCATGTTGAGAATGAGAATGAAGTGGAAGTGAAAGACGATGTCGACGGGGAGCTGCTGGTGCCGGAGGACCCAGAGCCGGTGACACCCCCAGATGAGGACGGGGCCGACGATGTCGAGGAGCCGGAGCTGGAACCAGTTGAAGACGGCGTGCTCGACGGCGTTGTGCTCGACGATGAACTTGACGGCGTAGTGCTTGACGAGGATGTGGAGGTCGAGGAGGACGAAGACGTTGAAGACGACATTGACGAAGCAGACGGCGACGAAGAAGAACCTATGGACGTGGATGAATGCGGATCAGAGCTTGTCATCGCATTCGCAGATGGTCCATCCTCGGGGCATCCGCACCTGCGAGGAGCTCCTAAAGATACGGTACATGCGCTCCTCGTACGCAAGGCGGCTGAGAAGGGGCTTGTGGAGGCCGTACGTCAGGGCCTTTTCCGCTTCAACGCCGCCGCGATCCTTGGATTGAAGCTCGAGGTACCGGCCGTGATTGTATGTACCGGCGTCTTGACGCTGTCGCGAAGCGGCGTGAGTGCCGTGGTGTGCTCTGCAAGCCTGTGCTTTGCCGTTGGATACGTCGAGAGCTGGGGTACTTGGTGAATAAGTAGCTTAGACGTTGAATACCGTGTTGCTTACCTATCCTGTATGTCGCGCACGCTCCGTTCCTACACGGCGTTCCCTGTGCGCAAACAGTCCCTCTCCCTCGTCCAATCTTTCACCAACTACGGCGTTGTCCTCTCATTCCTGTCCCCCCTCTCCGTACGCCGTTCCCGCGCCCTCCGGTCTCGTGCCTAACCTCGAGATGTTTGAGGGGTTGCGCGTGGGTCCTTCCTGTCGACAGAGATGAGTGGTGAAGAGACAAGATGCTCACCGTTTATCTGTACTATCAGCTGATGGAGCCAGTCGCAGCCCGAGTCTGTAGCATACAACGAAGTCGAGATAGAGCGCGATAGAGCAGATGGAAGTCGAGATAGAGCGCGAGTGAATAACATAGATGGAAGTCGCCCGAGACGCCGGCCGCGATAGAGCAAATGGAGTGACGTCGTGAGAGACGCCGGCCGCGATAGATAGTGACGTCGCGAGAGACGCCGGCTGCGACAGAGTGAAGCAAGAATAATAGAATACATTGAAGTCGAGAAACAAAAGGGTGTACATAAAGCAAAATGAGGGCTTACCTTCTAGGTCAATATAGCCTAGCTGGTTGAACGTGCTGCGGCATGATGAAGGTCGGTCTGCGCGAGTCGAGTGTTCGACTCCCGGGCATGTGCCAGGGTTGTTGGCTCCGCGGAGCTTAATTCTCCACCGCTACACTAACGAACAAATGTTCTTGACTGTCCATAGTGATTGGATTCACACCGAGTCCCTGAATGTTCAGTCGACG